GATGGATGGATGATGGATGGATGATGGATGATGGATGATGTACTTACACACAGAAGACTGATGCCAACAATGAACATCCCCAACATGGAGCAGAGCCACCTGGAGACAAAAAATACCCATCAGCCACCATAACCCCCCCTCACACACACACACACACACACACACACACACACACACACACACACACACACACACACACACACACACACACTGACCGTCCCATCTTATTGGCCAGGACACCAAACAGGTTTGTTCCTATCAGGTAGGAGACGCTGGCGGGGAGGAACGCCATACCTGTAACACAACACACACCTGTCAGTGGGGGCGGGGCACTGTGACATCACACGATTAGAGGCGTTTTATTGGACAGACAGTGGATTGTACCAAGTTGCCATTTAGGGGAGCACATGGTCTGCATCATCCAGATGGGCAGTGTCGGCTCCAGGATGGCCACGCCCATGTTGGCGAAACACAGAGAACCTGAAAAACGAAAGGACCAGAAGAAGAGTAGGCTTGGATTGATTGACAGCCGTCTGGGCCTATCACAGTCAGCGGTGGTTTAACGGTCACTCAGGTGAGACTCTTACCTGCACTGATGAGGATGTACGGATCCTTCATCAGGGTCAGTAACGGCGTCCCCTCCACCGTCTGAAACACATCACAACACTGACGCCTCAACACGCCTGACAACACGTGACACATGACTCTGCTCCCGTCCAATCAAACAACACGACCAGTGAAGTGTCATCAGATGAATCCCGTTAGAGAATCATCCCTGTTGACTGACTCCAGGTCAGTGGGCTGTACCATGAAGCAGGTTGAACTCAGAGTTTCAGTCTGATGAAGCGTGTTCACCTGTTATCAGGTGAAATCTGCAGCTGGACTGGATCAGTGTTTCAAAGTGGACTCACCCCCGGACAGATCTTTGAAGGCTGCAGGATGCACATCTGGAGCACTGCAACACAAACAGCTGGTTTCAGAACCGAACCACAGTGTGGACGATGTCTACACAACATGTCTACACAACATGTCTACACAACATG